ATAAGCTGCCAAGTCATGCAATTCTGTTTCCCCTGCAAGGAAATAAGGTTCACTTGGAATCTGAGGAAGAGTAATGGCATCCCCACATATCACAAACTTCTGGCACCCCTTCATCTCTTTGCTTCGGGACATTTTAGCAGATGGTGGTATATACAGCATGGCAGTAACAATTACTCTTGCCCTGCTTAGGTACTATTAGCAATTCTATAAAGACAAAGGGAAAATAGAGACATAAACTATCCACAAACAGAAGATATAATTAGAAAAAGTTAATTTGTTAACTTTTTTTAAATTTCTCTGCCATGTGCCACCAAAATTTAGTGGCCAAATTCTCTCTACCAACTACAAATATATACAGTAGACACAGAATATTTATTCAACCACTTCACCCAGGTTGTTGGCAAGATTTTACCTTTTCTTACACAATTATTTGTGTCACTTTGTGTGCATACAATTGAGTGCAACAATGTGAATATCTTTAAGGAGAGCTGTTTCTGCTCACAGCAGGAGGGTTCCATCTTTTTAGAGACACTTTGCCACAGGTTCTTTGCTTAAGTTTTGCACTTAATTTCACATAATCTATAATCTTGACAGAGTCGCAGCGATTGTGAAGACTTTGCTGCAGTTTAATTAAATAACAGTTGGGTCAAAAAGGTTTACACTGAGCAAATTTCCATCATCCAATGACAACTTTTCCAATAAACTGGACCTTGAGTTGGTATGGTTGTGTCATACTAATATTTCCAAGGTCAAATATGAACTGTCATGCAGAACTGCATTTGTCTTTTTGACTTATTTGGCTAAGACATCTCTCAAAAGTTTCCAAACAATTTCTCTTGTCATCTTTACTTCTCTTCGTATCACCATTCCCTCTCTCCTCTTCTGTCCATCCATCTTTAAAAAAAAGGGATGAATGGAGGTACTGAGTACAGGAGAGACGAAGGTCATTTTAAGTTCAGTCATCCAGATGAAAGGAAGACTAAAGAAAGCAAGTCAGAGAAAGGGAGACTTAATGATTTATGCTGTCATTCGTGTGACCGCACTGAGACAGCCTCTGCCTGATGATGCATTCACTGCGACTAGATCACTCCATCCGCTCATTTCATCCGGATGAGTGGACTCATAATGCTCCCCTGCCCTTTCTTGCTTGCCACCTCCCTCCCTCCCTTTTTTAAAAAACAGCAAAGGACATCCGGGAGAAATGAGGATGATGCTGAGTGACACAACCGCCGAGTTTCTTATCAGAATGTGACCATTTGCTCACATTTTAAAAAATGGTCCTGTTGTGCCATCAGTAATTTCATTTGCACCAGCGTGAAAACACACACAGCGAAGGCTCTGGAATTCACAATTATTTATAAGATAGGAAGGACACAGACAGTTCAGAAGTGCAAAGAGGAGGCACGTGACAGAGAGGATAGTTATTGTATTGTGAGTGAGTGAGTGAATGTATGAAAGACTGAATTAAATGAATCAGTGAATGTGCAGATGTTACTTTCATAAACCAAAACAAAGCACTGTGCTGTGTATTCCAGAGCTGTCTAGGAATAATGGATATTTCTAATATAAGCTTGTCTATTTTTGATTGGCAGAGCTGATTGAATTCCATTTCGAGCCGCTGTCATCCTGTCCTCATTTCATACTCGCAGATCTCCCTCAGCGGGTAATCAAGCTCTTTGAAAACTGTTTGATGAAAGAAATTTGGCCAGATCATTCAGGATAACACTGCATAAACCAATCTATTAGCCCACACAGCTCAAAGCAGAAACGCTGAATGAATATGGTTCACTGGAATGGGCCAAACACAGCCTGTGTGTCGATGACTGTAATAACAGACTTAATAGTGCAGATAATTTAGGATTTTGGACGAGGTTATGAGATTTCCACAACGGAGACTTCTGCCTTTACTTCAGTACAACACGACAATAGAATCTTATTTGTGGTGTGAAAACAGTTGGGCTGCAACTAATGACTATACATGAGTCTATCACCTATCAATATCAGTATCAATCAAAATAAATGTGAAAATGCTTAAAACAAGCTTTGAGAGGCCACGATAAAGTTTTCATAGCTTTTTATGTCAGACCAACAGTTCAAAAACAAATTATTATTATTTAAAATTGGGTTTACAGTTCAAAACCCAATTTACTTTAACAAAAAAAAAATACTCACGCAGAAAATCCTCACATTTGAGAAACTGGTGCAGGAAATGTTTGGCATTTTGGATTTAAGAGTTTAAAGGACCACACTGGTCTTGTAGGATTTAAGAGGATCGGTAACACTTTATAATGAGTACACACTATTAAGCATTAGTTAAGCATGAATAAATACTGAATTCATCATTTATAACACATGAATACACATTAGTATGTAGTTTATAAACACAGTTAAAAATGTTTTATTCATCATTGATAAGCACATTAGTTATGGATTAGTAAATACTGAATTCATCATTTATAAAGCATGATTCTGCTGTAAATAGTCATTACTATGTGGTTTATAATCACAGGTATAAATGTTTTACTCTTCATTGTACTGTACATTTCTGCATGCACTTGCACATCCACTATTCAGACATGTATTAATGATTAGTGACTGTGTTAGCAGATGTTCTATAAAACTCACAATAATGATGGCCTATAAACAGTGATTAATGCAGGAATTCACAGTTACAAAGTACTTACTACTCGTTAATTAAGTATTTTACGCGAGCTTATCTAAAGTGAGCACTATCTATGGTTTATTAAGCATTTACAAATGAGATATAAAGGCTGGCAATGCCTCGAGACTCACAAAATGTTCAGTTATCTTAACAGACGAAAGAGAGACACAACACAAAGGGATATAGAACATATTGTATTGATATTTACTGCAACTTCCCAACATATTGTATAAAGACGAACAAGGGTGGTTTATGAACACATGCTATTGTTGTGATCTTATCTGTTTGGGACGTGTACGTTGAGCTCCCGCTCTCAGCACGTCATCAACGTGATGACGTGCTGAGAGCGGGATGTTACGTCATATTTACGTTAACTCTCAGAAGTTTCTGACAGTGCAGCCAAGGGGAGCATGGAGAAGCACATTGGAGTCGACGGCCGTCAGCGGCTCTAGAGGAGAGTATATGTCTTTGTTTGGTAGCACACATTATGGTTGAAAGATAACGTTAGCTTGTCACTTGACACTAATGACTAACGTTACTAACGTTACCGACCCGCCCGCGGTGGCTAAGCCGACCCGCCGCTGCTAGGCACTCACCTCGACCGGCTAGACGAGACTAGGCTAGGTCGGCTTAGCCACCGCGGGCGGGTCGGTAACGTTAGTAACGTTACTAACGTTACTAACATTAGTAACGTTAGTAACGTGAGTCGGGGAGCGCGGGCAAACACCTGCAGCTGCTGACAAGCTAACGTTATCTTTCAACCATAATGTGTGCTACCAAACAAAGACAAAGGCTGCACTGTCACAAACTTCTGAGAGTTAACGTAAATATGACGTAACATCCCGCTCTCAGCACGTCATCACGTTGATGACGTGCTGAGAGCGGGAGCTCAACGTACACGTCCCAAACAGATAAGATCACAACAATAGCATGTCTTCATAAACCACCCTTGTTCGTCTTCATACAATATGTTGGGAAGTTGCAGTAAATATCAATACAATATGTTCTATATCCCTTTGTGTTGTGTCTCTCCTTCGTCTGTTAAGATAACTGAACATTTTGTGAGTCTCGAGGCATTGTCAGCCTTTATATCTCATTTGTAAATCCTTAATAAGCCATAGATAGTGCTCACTTTAGATAAGCTCGCGTAAAATAATTAATGAGTAGTAAGTGCTTTGTAACTGTGAATTCCTGCATTAATAACTGTTTATAGGCCATCATTAGAAAATGAATTTGTTGTGAGTTTTATAGAACATCTGCTAACACAGTCACTACTCATTAATACATGTCTGAATAGTGGATGTGCAAGTGCATGCAGAAATGTACAGTACAATGAAGAGTAAAACATTTATACCTGTGATTATAAACCACATAGTAATGACTATTTACAGCAGAATCATGCTTTATAAATGATGAATTCAGTATTTACTAATCCATAACTAATGTGCTTATCAATGATGAATAAAACATTTTTAACTGTGTTTATAAACTACATACTAATGTGTATTCATGTGTTATAAATGATGAATTCAGTATTTATTCATGCTTAACTAATGCTTAATAGTGTGTACTCATTATAAAGTGTTACCAGAGGGGGTAATTGACAGAAATTAAATATAATACTCATAATTAAGTTTTCATTAGCGTCCCATTCTAAGGAGCCCCCCATGTTTCACCCCCATGATTCTCTGTAGCCCAGAATATACAAACCAAACACTGGCTTACGGCCTCTCAAGTTTTCATGTTCAGTTAACCACTGTTAGATGCAGCTAAATGCTACACAGGACCTTTAAGTGATGAATTGATTATTATATTGAGGATTAATTTTCATCAGCTAAGCGTTTCTGCATTACTCAGCAGCAACTTTGCTTGGAAAACAATCTCCCAGTTGCTCAGAAGAGTGCACAGATCTAGCTGCCAACAGTATTCACTCATTTGTAGACATCTCAGCATGTACACAACATTGTTATGACTTGAATCACAAAGGTGTAAAGCAATTAAGGGCTGTACAACAGTATCACCTAGGGCAGTGAAACTCAACCAGTGTTACCCCGGGGGTACTTCTGCAGTTGCCACAGGGTACTGGGAAAGCTCAGCTAATTAACACAGCTAAACTCAAGTAACTCCACTGAAATATGTTGTTTATGAAGGAAAATAAACAAATTAAAACCATCACATATTAAGTTATGACAAACCAAATTCTCTTTTAGAAGATATAAATGTGACAGAAAAAATATAATCTATTTCATTCTGTGCTGCTGGCACCAAATGGATGTTACACATTTGTACAAGCACATAGAGACTATGGTTTAATAGAGCAGATTGCATCATTCATTACCTGGAGATCTGAAAGTCCATGCCTCGTCATCATCAAAGTGCGTATCCCCAGCTGTGAACCTCTCTCCGGGGAAAAATGCGTGCGCCACAGTTCCCCCTGGCCCATCAAAGGGATATCCATCATTGTGGTCAGCCTTAGTGAAGTCGATTTGAATGTCTGCATCACTTCCTGCCACTTCATGGAAGTTAAGTGGTGCGATGTCACTCCAGACCTTCAAGGCGTAGTACATCAGGGCTCGAACAGTGTCCCTGCCCAGTAAGGCTGAATCCTTGGGGAAGGTCCTCACTCTGGGAAAATAAAGGGAAAGAGGGAATATATTACTTAATAGAAGGAGAAAGAAGAGGGAATGAGGTTGCTTGGCTGTGCAACTAGCTCAAAATGGGATTCAGGCTGGCCAAACAACAGGAAATCAGGGACTTTTGTGCCCACATCTTTACAGAGACCAGCTCCATCAACATCCCGGACCAACACTTGATGGACAGACCGTGTACGGCAGAACGCTGGATGAGAGGATGCAGACTTTTGTTGATGCTTGGTGCTCAAACGCGGCCAAAGTGGACGCACTGTTTTGTGTATACATTGTTTTATTTCATTTTATAGTTATTCTACTATTTTTTTATTATTTTTCTATGTATGTAGCATGAAGAGAGTGGGAACTTGAATTTCATTGTACAACCTCGTGTTGTGTAATAAATAAATTTCCTCCTTGAGGAGGTGGAAAAGAATGATCTGGCAGTTAAGAGTACAAGAAAGGAGATTAGAGAAGAGGTGGCTGATGAAGGAAGTGGACGGGAAACTTTTACAGAAGAACAAAGTAAAATTGGAGACGAGAGACACGAGCTGGGCAAAAAAAGAGAGGAGAAAAATGATGATGGACAAGAAACAAGAGAAGAAAGTGAAAATTAAAGGAGGAAAGGGTAAGTGAGGTAAAATCCGTGGGAGGAGACAAGAGAAGAAGAGAAGCATGTCATGTGTAAGGGTGACAGAGATGATGAGGGAGAAGAGACGAGAAAGGTAAAAGCGTGGGAAAGAGGGAGCTGAGCACAGGAGACAGAAAGAGTGAAAAAAGGAAATGAGAAGGGTTGGTATATAGTAGATACTGGAGAGCAGTATGGAGAGTCAACCATACCATGTTTGCAACTGGGACACACTGAAAACCAAAATTTCTGTTTGAATGTTTTATGTGATTCCATTGGTTTTTGTATTTCATGGTAAGGTGCTCCTGCTGCTCACATATTCTGATAATACGTTGAGGTTACATTGCGCATCGGAAGAGATTACGGCATTAGCTTTCAAGAACAACTCATCTGCTTTTTCACTGTCTTATTTCCTTCCTTCCTCTCATCACCTTAACATCTCTCATGCTATTTCTTTCCATCAGAGACAGTAAAAACAAGACAAAATAAACAGAAAACCACTCAGACGGCATGCTACGTTTGCCTTTACTTCTAAATCTTCTCCATTCTCTCATCGTCTCTCTCATTCCCTGTCTTTTCTCTCCACCAATCAGCCTTTGCCTCCCCCAACTCATCTGCTTCTACATAATGCACTTGCCTGCTTTCTCCCCACAAAAGCACTTTGTCTAAATACAAGAGGTGATTTGGCCATATCAGGCAGCTCTAGGAAATTTAATCAGCGTTCATCAGTAGGATGGGCTCTCAGCCTAGAGAGAGTACTGCCACAACCATCTTACAACCTGCTATCAATCGGTTAAAAATGAACAAAGTGGTGTACTGATGGAGCTTCCTTCTTTAATTCTAACATCAAAAGCTATCAGTCATCATTGAAACATTTGCATCAATTGATTGGATACATAAAAGTTCACTCTAAAAACACTTAAGGTACTTTATAGTACAGGAAATTGTCCAGTTTCAAATGACTTCGTACAACTAACATCCTATATACGCTAACATATTGGAGGTGTTTTGGGTTATCCAGCATATCCTGCTGGGTGGCACTCCATGTATTGGACTTGCATCAAGTGAGGCAAGACTGTAGCTTAATCAAAACAGGAGCAAAACATGTATATTGATTCACATATTGATTGTCATAGACAGACCAGAGGGCTAGTTTAATACTACAATACACATAACAACTGAATTCCACAATGCACAAACAGAAGTTATTGGTCTCTGAATGTGAAAGGAAAACATACTGAAAGACTCAAATAAAAAGGATAACAAATTGGTGGAAAAAAACCTCAGGAGAACCTTGATTGTTGCATGTACCTGCGGTAAAAGAAAAATGACCATCTGTCAGACCACCTGCGTTTCTCATTCATGCTGCAATTTTTATGAAAAAAGGAAATGGGAAAAAAAGTTCAAATCTGTGTGAAATGGTGAATGGAGAGATGTTCACTAAGCAACAAGGACTGTGAACTCTGTGAGGAGAGTTGAAGGTGAGTGCACTTTAGCTGAGAGGATAAACCGACATAGAAATGAATTCTCTCTTACTCAAGGGATAGCATGCGGTTTTTCTGGCTGGCTGGTTTTAATTCAGCACACATTTGTTAACTCAATGTCAGCTGTAGAAACGTTTTTTTAGATAATCTAATCTAATCTAATAGGATAGTCTAAATCCAGTGGTTCTCAAACTGGGAGCCAGTGCAGGGGGCATAATGACTGACATAAAGAGAGTGCAGCTAAAGTTGAATGAAAAGGAACAATGTTCAAATAAAGAGCGTACTGAGGCTGGCTATAAGGATTCACTGAATGTTTTTCCGCTGGAACCACCAGTGTAAAGAGTCTTAAAGTTATATTCCTGACATTGTGTATTAAATTGAGCGATTCACAGGAAACAAAGCACTGCATTGCACGGAGTAAATGAACAAGAGGGATCAGCCAGACGACAGGCTGCACATCTCCAGTGCCACAGCAAGGTAACCAACTGCTATCACTGTGCCCTGTCGCTGTGTGGAGAACTGATTGCACTGTGTGCAGCATGAAATCAAATCCCGGTTGCTTGTGACATGATGGAAAATTACTGACTTCTTTATTAAAACAATGTGAGTTTGTTCAGCTACACTGTGAACAGATACACCAGTTGTTCCTCTGTTGTATGTCTGACAAAGGAGCTGCTCAAGGAGTTTATTGTAGTATTAAACTGTTAACGCCATGAATGTCGTCAAATCATCAACTGAAATCTTATAATTAGGACTTTAACTCAAATGCCAGTACAATAATGTAATGCTTCACGGTGCATAGAAAGCTCACTCTACAACAATAATGCCACAAAAACCTCATTATGAGTTTAGACAAGCTGCACCAGCTAGGGGACTATCAAACTCAGACTGTGCCAATCATGGTAAACATTTAGGTCATGCAAAGGTTCGGAGACTGAAGTTCTGTCACTTCAAACAGTCTTGCTCGTAAAAAGGCCCTCTGTCATCCCCATTTCTTCTTTTGTTAAATGTGGCATCTTGAAAGCCAAGTTTCTGTCAAACTAATGATTTGTTTGACGGTTGTTTCAATTCACACGTGAATTCTTCATGACTAACGACTTCTTGATGGGGACTGGTGACTCATCCCTCCGTCTGAAGCTTCTCCCCCACTGTATTCCTTTCTTTTCTTTTTTCTTTTACCATCCCAGGATCTCTGGTCATGGCGTTGGTATAGTGGTGATGGAGTGAAAGGTTCATGATCGCTGAGACTTGCTCTGTGCACTTGTTCCCACCCAGACAGCTTATCGCAGGGGTTTGAAAGTAAACACTTACACTCCACAAACAACTCACCTACTTATAAGTCGTAATTCAAGCGAGCAAGGTGAGGCTAGGTGTTTGTCAGTGTGCAGTGTGTGTCAGGGAGAAACAGACTGCACTGCTGCTGTCAGTATATTTTTGTATGCAAGCGCAAATGAATGTGTTGGGGTGTTGTGTGTGGGCTAGCATTAAACAATGTAAGATTATATTGTTAATCCTCTTTTTATAAATTTTAACACCCACTATTTTTTTTCCACACTGTACATGTCAAATCTTCAGAGAAACAAAAGGAGAGAATGAGCTGGATGATGTAGGTAAGAAGAAAATAATGAGGAAGGAGAAGGAAAGAAAGATAAAAATAGTTAGAAAACAGAGACTTACTGTAATATGAGGGAGACTGAGCAAAATGTGGAGTAAAAAGCGGGAATCACAGACACGCTCCTATTGCAGAAATATTTCTGACAACTCCCCATGGCTTCATCTTCCACAGTTCTAACTTTAGTCAGAATCATACAGAGTTTGTTCTCCCTGAGAATGACGAGTCCTTAAGTTTCAGCATTTCTCCAGGCTACTACACTCAGAGGGATCAGTGATCACACAGACACATTTCCATCTCTGACAGAGTATCTGATGTCTCCTTTTCCTTAGCCGCAAAAAATGTTCCTCATTACAAAAGCTTTTTAAAAATGGCTTGTGTAATAGACTTGTACAGCAGAACAGGGGTGTGAGTATGAGAGAGAGAGAGATGCTGATGATACATGGGCGTAGGTGGGGGAGGGCAAAAATAGAGGTTTCAAAAAATTGAACTTTGTGAATGCCCTTTCCTGCAGTGATATATATCAACTTACAGTAGCAAATAAAACATTATGATGAGCTGGTCATCGTGCCTTCCGTGATAAATGGCAGTTTTATAGATTAATTAATAATGGTGTGCTCCCAAAAATTACATTTAGATTGATTGGTAGAGAACTGACAATGAAAGATAATTTAATTGCATCGTTCACCCAATTCCTGTACCAAAAGCAAGAATTACTACCTGTATCATAATTACACATCATCAACTACAAATCAAAACATAAATAACTTTTCCCAAAAACAGGTGGTATTTTTTTTTTACAGCCCTCAGTGGTGTCATCTTTTTAGGCTGCATGGAACCCCAACAAGATCCAGTTGGTTTGGGAAGTCTCAATGTAGCCTGAGAGGCAAATCCCAGGGCAGCAAACAGTCCTTAAAGCACTTGCTGCTGTTTTGTGCTAGTTTAATGTGATCTGGATCTTTTCAGTGCTTCTTTTCAAATGGATTCTAATGACTGGAAAGTAAGATGACACAGTTTAGAAAGATTTTAGTGAGTCATTTAAAGTATAACTGTAAAGCTATAAAAGTAGGTAGGACAAAACTAAGATTTTGGTGCCTGTCCTATGGGTCCCCGAAGAAAATTCCAAGGCAAGAACAGGGCTATTGGATAATTTTGCAAAATTATAGACAACAAAAACACTGGTTCCTAAGGTTAAGGAAAGATCTTGGTTATGGTAATCTTACAAACATTAATTGCAAGTCTGTGATTGGCACTGACACTGTATCTGATCTCCT